CCCTCCTTCACGACGTGATGATATTATATCTGCAGGAAGTTAAAACGATGAAGGGCTTTCGCTTGAAACGTCGACGTTCTCCTTGTACTTTTCAGGTAGTTACATCCTAATCACACCGAAGCTTTCTTATTACTCTAGCTGCAGAAACCATTCAAGATTATATCAACTCTATACATGAAGGCCTACAGTAAAGGTCGTGCTGGATAAGCATACTAATCGAAATTTTATCAGTTGTTTCTGGACCGATAACGCTATATGAAACTTGAAACTTTAATTGATTCGCCATACAATATACAATACAATCACAATGAAAGAACAAACGTAAATAGCAGATAGCGTGGAGACCTCATTAAACCACTAGGCTTATCTGCTTATCTAATGAGGTCACCTCAAACAACGAATAGTACAGTGGAATAAATACAATATTTTACTCAAAGAGCGTATTATGTGCGCGACGTATAGATATTATTTTTAGCAAAAATTCTATCATATATTTTTTAAAAGTGGAAATTAGACTAGACAGATCTTTTATATGTGGTGGTAGAGCATTCCAAATTTTAGGACCTTGAAAGAGTATAGTAAATTGTTTTAGATTTCTGTGAATATATGAACTAATGTTCTGTATGAATATAATATACATGGCATCCTATATATAGAGCTCGAGTGACTTAGTTCCAGCAAAAACGTAAGACTCGTAAAGTAAACTATATGAACTCACTAAACTAGAATTAAATCTATTTTTATTCATTCGATATATTTTGCTTTACAGGCAATAATTCTTGGCATAACTGTACTTTTTGGAGGAGGGCAAATATCAAACAAATCGGTAAGACAACTTACGAACGTTGTACATTATGTACAAATAAACATATCGTGCACAGCACAAGATACAAAGTAGATAGGAAGTATAACATTTGATTTCGAAAGGAGGAAATTTTGAACTAACATTTTTTCCGCATTGCACTATTCATTTTTCCTTTTCAGAAAATTATCCGAGTATGTCTGAGTATATATTGTTTTATAACTGCCATTGTGAGTATTGTTCTCGAGGCTCCGGATTGGATGAGATATCTCTCGGATAACCGATCACCTGATCAAACTTGCAAACTGGCAATGATTGCTGTTCCTGGATTACAAAGAGGTAAAATACGTTTTTACAATCATGCATTGCATGGTTGAACATTTTGTCCTCTATTTAAATCCAGTTGTAAGCAACTACCATATAAGCGCATACACACAGCATATTCGCGAAGTAAAAGACCAAATAAATTTTACAGACGTAAAAACCATAGATATCTTATATACACTAGATAGTGCATCTAATTATTCTGCAATTCAAAAATTGAAGTCGTGATTGCAGACTCAGGATATTCCCATGAAATGAGAAGACTCGTATGTTTTCTATTTCTTAAACAGGGAACTTAAACATTAAGTTAAACCTATTCCAAATACATTTTCAAACTGTTCAAATGATGAAAGTTATTGTTGTTTTTTAAGCGTTTATTAGCGTGTGGGAAACTAACCGCGGGTAATTAACCGCTGGAATATTCTTGGCTTCAATTTTACTAAAAGAGATGCGCTATCTAGTGTATATAAGATATCTATGGTAAAAACGCACAAGTTGTAACAAATCTGCAGCAAACTCGTGTAGCAATGCTGTTCCAACAAGATTGACAACTTGTTGACAAGTTGTCAACGACTTTTTGACAACTTGCTACAAGGTTGTTGAGCTCAAAAGACTTGTTACAAATTGTTCCATGCAACAACTTGTTGTCGTCCTGCATAATTTAACAAGTTGTGAGTGACAACCTTGGAGCAACATTGTTACAACTTGTTGACAAGCTTGCTACAAGCCTAGCTCATGTTGCGAACACATCTTGTTGACAAATTGTGAGATTTTTACAATACGTGCGTACATTTAAGGGAAACAAGAAGGACAAATTAAAAGTTCCAATGGCAATTGGGTGTAGATAAAACGCTGACACCAAAGTGACATTTTTTGGACATAATAAATTGGACAATATATCATCCAGTTTAGCCTTAATTTGACCGGCTTCTTTTGCTTTTCTTAAATCTTGAGTTTCATGATGGAACATTTCAGAGTCGGCTGTTTCAAGGAATTTAAGTTCTTCACATTCTGCTAATATTTCAGCTTTCTCATAGATGTAATTTACAATGCTTTATACAGTACCGTGCAACAGTGAAATGATTAATTAACTCATTTTCAGTCTCAACAATGTCATTATTCATTAACACATTTTTTTTCTCAATATATTTTCATAGAAATGCAGTATTCAGAGTACAGTTGCAAACGGCGAACGTCCTATGCATGGTCTGTCGGTTTCATCACGGTTTCTGCCGTGTTGCTCATTAATTACAGCGTTTGTTCAATCTTACTGCATGTATGGTTGGCTATAAAAGATCAGGTAAAACCATAATGACATAAACCGTTATTCCGAATTTAAATACAGCAATAATAATTAAATCCTTGCATCCATGACCCAGAGTTATGTGAGGTCAGTGTGGAACACTCTACTCAGCACTAACGCCATAAAACAAATAAATGATACTCAGGGCGTTTTGGGGAGAGGGGGCATCCACAGATAGGGAACATACTATGCTAAATGTGGAGAGATACAGATGGTTGTTTAAAATATAAGATATTTACAACACAATCTTTAGCATTTTAGTAAAAAGACATTGTCATTGAATCATTTGAAGATTAATGACGTGACATACCCATCCTTTCAACTCTGTAAATCTTATATTCAAGGATCAATTACCAGAATATCAAACATCCGTTCTAAATTTCATTTTCTTCCAATGTTTTTATGTTTTGACTTATATTTTGGAGAAAATAGACTTTGCCCAACCCCCTCCCCAGTTATGACCCTTATCGTAATGTTCTAAGTTTGCTATTTCCTAGATGGCTTATAAAATGCCAGATTATCCTGCTTACACAGTCAAAGAGAATAATAAAACTGCAAAAACGAAGAACGAAAAGAAGGATGGATCAGCGAACATGGGTTTTGAAGAAAATTGAGAGGAAAACGCAGTCATATATGTCATGTTTTTGGTAGTGCACACGGTCAATGGTCACAGTTTTACAGCAATAGAAAGTAAAGCCAAGGGGGGGGGGGGGATATTATGTTAAAATGTGTAATGTGTAGCAGACAATTTATATGTAGTTTTCCTTGTCGGTAAATAAAGGCCAAACAAAAAATGTTACTTTCAAGCTTCTGCATACCAACCTGTTTTTTTTAAATGTCTCTGACTGGTTTAAACATTGCTAAAATTTCCCCTTTTCCCACAAAACATGGTTTCTGTTTAACATTTCTATACCATGCGATGACTGCGAGAAAGAGTATTTGGATCAGTCTATAAAACGCCAGTTTGGGTCACGGCTAAAAGAACATATCAAAAGGCTGTTTCAACTTTAGACAAGGGAAAGCAGCTTTAGGCTTTAGCAAAACATGTGTGTGACACCAAACACGAGATTGCGTGGGAAAACTCTAAAGTAATTACCACAAACAATCGCTATGGTCAAAGACAATGCCTAGAAGCGTGGCCTATAAATATGAGTAATCATACTTTGAATAGCGATGACGGTGCCTATTTGCCAGATGTATACATGCATCTTATTGGCAGATGACGTCATCCCTTGGGAATTTAAGAAGCCACATTGCAACTTTAGATTGACCCCTGAAGCCCCTGACGAATTAGACACTAAAGTGCTAAACTGGAGTGTCGGACTCGAAACGTTGGGTCTTGATTATGCACTTGTCACTGGGAAGCCCCCCCCCCCCCCACCCTAGCTGGGCATACATGGGGCATTAGATTCTAAGCGAAAAAAATCTGCAAAAATGCCCCATACAATGGGGACCAACATAAAGTCTAACCCCGTCTAAACCCCTACTGAGCACTTTACAATAGCGTAATATTCAGTAGCACGACCAAATTTTTACACATGCAAATGATAGTTTGAGAATACCAGAACAAAGAGGCAACATATAAATGCATTTACATAAAAAGAAAAGTCTTCAATGCTAGTTGACCTTCAAAAGTCGCCATTTTGCAATGCGGTCGCGAATTCGGTACCAGCCCCCTGCTTGAGAAGATTGGCTAAAATGTAAAAATCCCCAAGAGAAAGGATCAAATCCCCATCTAATCCCCCATCAAGTCCTCTTGTATATGTGTCTCCGGGGTGGGGTGGGGGTGAGAGGGGGGGGGGGTTCCCAGTGACAAATTCATTTATATAAACCAGAGTAGCGAGCGAAAACATGAGGTTTCCTAATCTTATTCTATTGACTGCATGTATGCCAAGCATAGTGTACCCCCCTATGGAGGAATTAAACACTCTTCGCCTCCTCATTAGCACTCGAATTCCAAATATTTATATATGCACACTTCCTGTCTGCCTTGCCAAGCAAACTACCGGTGCTCAACTTTGAAACAACACTATCTCTAAAAAATACTAACACATAACCGGCTATTACAACATATTAAAGCATAAATACAGCTGGTTTATCAACATACGAGCGTTTGAGGCACGTTCAAGCGAATTTTGGGGAAACCGTGGTTGAAGTTCGCCCAACCTGACAAAGTTCCAAGTTGTTCACACTTGCGTGTTTGAAGTCGTGAATTGACACACGCTTGTTCGAGACGGTTTTTGTTAGCAATTAACATTCCTTCGAAATATCAACTTCGACATGTCTGGAAAGCCAAGCATTGTTATATTGGGAGGTAAGGCTTATGTTATAGAGTATGTTTCTTTAAAATATAGAATACTGACGGATTCTAGCCATGCGAATGCCGAAATAAGTCTTCTTTGTATGCAAATTTTAGTCTGCGTGCGTTACTTGTATGAATATATAACTTGAACAGAACTTAGTCATTAGTCACGTTTTAGCTAAAGTTTTTGCAGAAGAATATCATCGTTCGTATCAAATCTGTCACGACCTGCTTTTTATAAACAGACACCTTGTAAAACTGTCGAATTTAACCGCAAACAACACGCGTGTGCTAACAAAATCATGTAATTGTACTGAGAGGGATAATATCGTGATTATTCAAGCATGTTCTATTATATTTTTACTAAATTTCAACCAGAGTTCATGAAATATATCTGTAATGGCATTTGTACAAAATTGTACGAAACGACGAATGGTTATATTCGCGATGGGGGGAGATACAGTAAAAGTGGAAAATTTAATTGTTGTAGACAGAATGATATCTTGAAGGAATGTAGCTAATAATGTAATAAGTTAGTAATTGCTACATTAGTATTTAAATGCTTCTCTTAAAGTCTATAAAGCGTAGTTTATCTGTTTATAGTAGAAAGATATGGTTGGAATATGGAATTCTATTATAAATTCATAATTTAAATTTTATAAAGGTTTATAAGTTGTGACAAAAACAGTTTCATCAATAATATGACCATTCCAAATTTGGTAATGCACACTGATGCTCAAGCACAAATTATTCAACCAGCATAGTCTAGTGTTGAAATTCTTACGGTATTTTTTCAGCACTTAATTTTGATGGTGTGTAATTACTGGGTCAAACCATTGTCATCTAAAGTGTATGCGTGGATGAAAATTTTAGCTTAATTTCTGATTATTAGTTAATTACAGTAGTTCCTCATATATTTTTCTAAATATATCATATAATTATTCATAATGTAGAGACTAATTACCATTAAAATGACATTAATGCATGGTAATTGTTAATTTGTATATTAATTGTTTGCCCCCAATGACAGATCAAATTATAAACATATTATATATTTTTTTCTAATCAACCTAGCACTCTACCCTTAATTGACAAGTAAAAATATCTGGTGTTAGATCCTTAGACACAGTAAAATAATAAAGTAGGGTAAAAGGGTTACCCATTGAATGGCAGCGCTCTCCCCTTGACAAGTAAAATCGTCAGTGTGTAAATCTTATACCACCTTTGTTTTGAATTGTATATACATAGACAATCATGTCAAACCAATGCCATTAACATCATTTGTTTGTTAATAGTGTTAGTTGGTACTTGAGATTAAAACAAGAGTGCTTTTGTTATAAGGTTGATACTGGACTCCGGATTTACGTCAATATTTCCTTCTTCTTTCATTTATGTGCATGTATTATTGCATTATATGGCTATTTATTCCTTTTACAACTTCAAATAATTATGAATAAAAAATCATAAGGATCAAGATCGATTGAAGCAGTAAATGATGGAATTCAGAAAATATTAGAATGGTTTAATGATAATCAACTTATATACACTTGATATGAAAAATACTAATTATATACTCTTTAAACCTAAAAAAGTTAAACATAACATAAAAATAAAAATTGGAGATATTGATCACCAACTAGCTTGTTTAAGTGACTTGACAAAATTCCTAGGAGTAATCATTGACCAACAAGTTAACTTGGAATGAACACATAAATCATGTAGTCAACAAAATAGCTAAGACAACTGGTATTCTAGACAATAAAGCACATCACTTCTTGAAAACTATAAAACTATGACTATATAAATATATTAAAATGCTAATTTCACATTTATGTGGGAATTATTATATTATTTCTATAATTTTATTACTATGGAAAGTACTTTTATATAAAATATAGATTCACTTAAACAAGTTATACCTGATAATTTATAACAAGGGGAACTACTCACATAAAAGCCCATTAGGTTTATGTAGTACCCAAATATATAATTAGATAAGTCCATGTATGCAATTTTGTAAATAACTTATTACACCTAGATTTCTTTTTTATAAACTTAACATTTTTTTATATTTTATGGTCAACAATATGACATTTCACATGGAAATATTAGTGTTGTTGCACTTCATATTTGATGGTATTATCTTGTATAGCATGGCTATAAAACTCCAAATGTATTTTCTTTTTTCCTACACGTGCAGGTCTTGGTTTTATTGGCAGAAATTTAGTCACATATCTTGTGGAAAATGACCTATGTTCGAAGGTGAGGACATTGAACTACAGTAGCATGACAAAAAAATTCTGTTTGTACAACTGCAAGATGTACATGTATTACTAAGCGAGATTTTTCTTTGTGGATAAGACATGGCGGTCATTCATTTAGTTGTTATTGTGTTGTTTAGATAAGAGCTGTTGACAAGGTGCCACCACAGACAGCATGGCTCAATGAAAGACACAAGGTACCGTACCAATTACAGATATTAACAAAAGTGATTATGCACTAAACAGTACTGGATACAGTGGAGTACAGTACCAGCTAGCAACTCAAAATTTTTAACACAATATCTTCTGAGGGACTTTTTGTGTGGCTTAGCGGTAAATTTTTGTCATCTTGTTCACAGGAATGTCATAGACATTAATTGACAAGTTGTTGGAACAGCATTGTCACAACTTGTTAACAAGCTTGCTACAAACCTGTTGAGGAGACATCTTGTTGACAAGTTGTTGGAACAGCATTGTCACAACTTGATAACAAGCTTGCTACAAGCCTGTTGAGGAGATATCCTGTAGACAAGTTGTTCGAACAGCATTGTTACAACTTGATAACAAGCTTGCTACAAGCCTGTCGATCGAGAGATATCCTGTTGACAAGTTGTTTGAACAGCATTGTCACAACTTGTTAACAAGCTTGCTACAAGCCTGTCGAGGAGATATCCTGTTGACAAGTTGTTCGAACAGCATTGTCACAACTTGTTAACAAGCTTGCTACAAGCCTGTCGAGGAGATCTCTTCTTGACAAGTTGTTGGAACAGCTTTGTCACAACTTGTTAACAAGCTTGCTACAAGCCTGTCGAGGAGATATACTGTTGACAAGTTGTTCGAACAGCATTGTCACAACTTGTTAACAAGCTTGCTACAAGCCTGTCGAGGAGATATCCTGTTGACAAGTTGTTCGAACAGCATTGTCACAACTTGTTAACAAGCTTGCTACAAGCCTGTCGAGGAGATCTCTTCTTGACAAGTTGTTGGAACAGCTTTGTCACAACTTGTTAACAAGCTTGCTACAAGCCTGTCGAGGAGATATACTGTTGACAAGTTGTTCGAACAGCATTGTCACAACTTGTTAACAAGCTTGCTACAAGCCTGTCGAGGAGATATCCTGTTGACAAGTTGTTCGAACAGCATTGTCACAACTTGTTAACAAGCTTGCTACAAGCCTGTCGAGGAGATCTCTTCTTGACAAGTTGTTGGAACAGCTTTGTCACAACTTGTTAACAAGCTTGCTACAAGCCTGTCGAGGAGATATACTGTTGACAAGTTGTTCGAACAGCATTGTCACAACTTGTTAACAAGCTTGCTACAAGCCTGTCGAGGAGATATCCTGTTGACAAGTTGTTCGAACAGCATTGTCACAACTTGTTAACAAGCTTGCTACAAGCCTGTCGAGGAGATCGATCGATCTCTTCTTGACAAGTTGTTGGAACAGCATTGTCACAACTTGTTAACAAGCTTGCTACATGCCTGTTGAGGAGATCTCTTCTTGACAAGTTGTTGGAACAGCATTGTCTCAACTTGTTAACAAGCTTGCTACAAGCCTGTTCAGGAGATTTCTTATTGACAAGTTGTTGCAACAGCATTGTCACAACTTGTTAACAAGCTTGCTACAAGCCTGTTCAGGAGATCTCTTCTTGACAAGTTGTTGGAACAGCATTGTCTCAACTTGTTAACAAGCTTGCTACAAGCCTGTTCAGGAGATTTCTTATTGACAAGTTGTTGCAACAGCATTGTCACAACTTGTTAACAAGCTTGCTACAAGCCTGTTCAGGAGATCTCTTCTTGACAAGTTGTTGGAACAGCATTGTCTCAACTTGTTAACAAGCTTGCTACAAGCCTGTTCAGGAGATTTCTTATTGACAAGTTGTTGCAACAGCATTGTCACAACTTGTTAACAAGCTTGCTACAAGCCTGTTCAGGAGATCTCTTCTTGACAAGTTGTTGGAACAGCATTGTCTCAACTTGTTAACAAGCTTGCTACAAGCCTGTTCAGGAGATTTCTTATTGACAAGTTGTTGCAACAGCATTGTCACAACTTGTTAACAAGCTTGCTACAAGCCTGTTCAGGAGATCTCTTCTTGACAAGTTGTTGGAACAGCATTGTCTCAACTTGTTAACAAGCTTGCTACAAGCCTGTTCAGGAGATTTCTTATTGACAAGTTGTTGCAACAGCATTGTCACAACTTGTTAACAAGCTTGCTACAAGCCTGTTCAGGAGATCTCTTCTTGACAAGTTGTTGGAACAGCATTGTCTCAACTTGTTAACAAGCTTGCTACAAGCCTGTTCAGGAGATTTCTTATTGACAAGTTGTTGCAACAGCATTGTCACAACTTGTTAACAAGCTTGCT